TTTGCTTCTAAAAGAGCGTTCACGTCCATTTCTGAGAGGTAGAAACTAATGTTGTGCTTGGTTATTTCGAGGATTTTCATACTATCATAGATTAGTCGTCGAATTCTGCAATAGTCACCGCACTCGATTTCGACAGGATCATACTTGTCAGGAAGGTCCTTCTTCTCCCCCTCCTCCTCCTGCTCCTCCGTCTCCTTCACCGTTACCACATTGAGCTGGGTGATTAATTGTTCCCACTCATAGGAACTGAAAGATAGTTTCAACCGTGATGAGTTCCACACAATTACAGCAGGAGTAAATGATCTCGCTGGGCTTAGACCGCATCCAATTTGGTATGATCCATTTGGAAACTGCGTGTACAGCAGATAATGGTCCTCGTTCTTGGCCGCTTCTTCGTACCTTTCCAGAATAGCATCCAGCTCACGGTCGTAGTTTACAGATGATTCGTGTGAGCTGCTGGTGGTGGTGAGGTCAAACTCGCTGCAACTTGAACCACTAGCACTGGTATCCATTTTTTTACTAGCTGCCTGACTGACTGACTGACTGCAACCGACTGAGAACTCACTTTTAGCAGAAACCCCCACCCCATACACCTAGACGATCGCATCATTGTCAATCCAACTATTATGTTTTGCATCAAGGCCAAACCATTTGACGTACATTTTTTTACCTTTACGACGTAAAACTTTTTCAACTAAATAAACATCTGGATTGGCTGTTTTCTGTAATTCTTCGTCATAAAAGGCTCCTTTGATCGGTGCACCTTGCATATCTTCGAGCATGTACGTTGCAGGGTTGGTAATATTAATTTTAGTAACTTTAAATAATTCCGTTGTCCAACTTGGAACGTATCCCTTGTCGAATAGCATTTTGGTTTTGCTGATGCGTACAATGTCACCAACTTTAAACTTACGCGGGCCCGCGATTTTTAAATGAGAATATTTTCGATTTAAGATACATTTTTCGTTGGATTTATTAATTTGTGATGGTTTACATCCGATGGTTTGATGACGTGTTCCATTGTATTCATTGGTAATGCTTTGTAATATATCAATCCATTTATACGATCCCATTAAGCTAAAGTATTTGTAAAGTTTATTTTTCAACGTTCTTATGGCTCTTTCAGCAATGGCCGCTTTCTTGATGCTATATGTACTATAATGATTAATATCATGCTTCTTCATTAAAGTTTGAAATTTACTATTGTAAAATTCTTTACCTTGATCAGATTGTAGATTTTTCGGCGTACGTTCCGTATGTGCGAGGATATCCGAAAACGCACGAGTTATCTCCTCACCCGTCTTTGTCTTTAACGGTCTAGTCCACATAAACTTGGAAAAAGAATCGATTACAACGAGAATTAATTTGAAATTTTTATTTTGATGAGCATAAGGTCGCATTTCAGCCAAGTCAGTCTGCCATAAATCGTCTAAGCCTTTAATGATGGTACGTCGTCTTAGATAATTTTTTCGAGCAGGCTTATGCAGCTCGTTAACTAGTTGTAGCTTCTCCTTGGAGTACGTTATCATATTTTAACGCTTTAAATTGATGTTCCAACGGCTTTATACGCTTAGCAAGATCAAATGTTTTCAATGATATATATGATGTGCGTCCTTGCAAAAGTTGTAATTCAGAGGATAAATCAATGATATTTTTCCGTATTGGAGTCAAATCGGTATGAGACTTAATTGTAGCCAACTCCTGTTCTATTCTTGTTGTTATATTTGCAATTGAGTCATCTACGTATTTTTGTGTTGCCATATGTTTACCAGAAGTAGGCGGATTTCTCGAAATAAACTCTGTTATTTGATCTGTTTTTGCTGTTATTTTTTTTAAATCAATCACTGAAGTATCTACGTATTTTTTAGTTGCCGCATCTGAATTATCTGTGGGATCTTTTATATTACACAACTTTACGTTCTTGAAGTCAACATTTCCATCAGAAGTATGGGGTAGTGTTAACTTTGGCGGTGTACGCATATACGGAAGTGTCTTTTGTTTATCAAAGCGACGTCCGAATTTATCAAGACTCATCGTGTAAATGAAAGACCAAGGAACTAGATTACTGTATTATATTAGCTTCTTTCAGCTCGTTGAGGATGGCTACTATTTCATTATCATGCGACATATTGCCAGCTTCCTGAGATGCCATAAGGAGTTTAAGTCGATCGATTAATTCATTGGGATCATCCCAGTACACGTATTCGATTGGTTCCTCGTTGTATGTCAAGTAATCACCGATACCTTTTCCTGTTGGCGGTTTTGATGTTGATGATGATGTTGTTGTTGTTGTTGTTGTTGTTGAGGGAGTGGATCTTGTTAATGATCGACTAAGTGGACTACGTATTTTTGTAGATGTTGATCGTGTGACAATTGTACCTTTATTTTTCTGCACATCTTTAAAGAGAGGCTTAATAATGTGATTATATTTAAATCCTGTCGAACCTTTTAGGCGTCCAAGCGAATCTAAATGAACACCGGTACTTTGCAATAGATTTTTATAGGGTTGTAAATCTGCATCTGCATAGTTTGGGTCATTATAGAATAAAAGTTGATATAGCCCAGGTGTGCCACGAAGCCATGTACCTGCTAAGTTTGTCCCCTCAGGTAATAACTGTATAATCTGTCAAATTTAATTCTGCGTTTACCTAACATCCAACCAATGTTGTCGGTATATATAGGTCCATAATTTTTATCAATTTTATCGTTTTGTGTCCAAAAATCTTGTAAATAATTATGGCTTATTGGGGGATATTGATCTAAGTATTCTTCTATTGCTTCTTGTGAAAAATCAGCAGGACGCATTTCTTCAGGTATTGGTGGTGTTTCAGGTCTCGGCGGTATATTACCTTGTTCATCAGTTGAAGCCACGTCTTCTAAATTGAGATAGTTTGGGTTCTGTGTGAATACATCATCATCATCATTATCATCATCATCATCCTGTTTCAATTTTTCCTCTTTTTTAATAATAAATGAAGGATGCTGCTGAGTCTTAGCTATTTGCTTAAGAGGTTCAGATATTGGTTTGAAAAGTTTTCTAATAGATTCATCTTCTGCAGTTCGACCTAACTTTAAAGTAAGATATTTTTTACGTATAGCTCGAGCAAGTTCTGCGATCTTTCTTTTATGACTAGCAACGGCAACTTGGTCCTTTGACATCATGTTACTGAATGATGGCGTACATGATAAGCCTACAATTTTATGTACTTATCAAATCCTACTCTGTATCGACCATAATTAAGAGGAAAGTCTTTAACAATAACTAACGTACCGTACTTTTCTGCCCAACATTCCGAACACATCTTTTTGAATTCATCAAAAGTAACATCTGGAGATACATGCTCAACAAATATATGTTTTAGATTAATTTCATCCTGCTTAACCCTCGGTTAGGCGCGCGGCTGTTTATAACGTATTTGGGCGCGCGGGCTACAATTGTAGCCCAACTTTGTACAATGTACAAATATGTTTTAGCATGTGCATAAAATACCAATTATGAATATTTCTTATGTATTTTCGAAGCAGCTCGTATTCATTGTCTTTTGCAAATGAAATATACAACTGTGGAACCACAACTTATTATTTAGAGAAAAAATACAACATACTTAACCTAACACAAAATCCAAATCAATCAAATAATAATAAATGGCAATGTTCTGGAGTCCCCAATATGACAAACTTCTATTCCTTCAGGCATGCCGTGCAAGTATCACTCATGTGTTGTTTGCATGCAAACCTTCTACATTGCGAACAAATTTTACGTGTTGATTTATCACGTTGTCTAGGGCAAATATGACAACGTCCAACAGTGGTTTTTGGTTGATTAGAGGGGGAAGGTGATACCTCCCTAACATTTAGGGTAGCTCGTGCCCGTCGCCTCATATCCACTGGCAGTGACGGGATGGTTGACCGAAATTCTATCTGGGGTCGGATCAGATCCCATGCACAAGTTTGTAAAAAGTCGGACCGTGCGATTCTTTTTTGTGGCGGGTGATTTGCCTTATAGACGCACAATGCGTTAATGCCAGATATGTTGATCAAGTTGTAAAATACCACCATTGGCCAACGACGTGTATTTCTTGCAACATTGTACTTCTGGCATAACTGGTCTACCAGGTCAACACCAATTTTTGTGTGATTATAATCGGCTATGATTACTGGTTTTTTGTCATCACCCGTTTCCTCATCTATTGCATCATCAAAGTGCATGGACGATAACAAAATCACAGATCTATTTTTTTTTGGGCAGTACGATACCATGGTACAGTCCTTCTGAAAACCAAACAAGGACGATTTCTCTGGTCGATTCTTATTCGGCAAGAATTGTGGAGGGATCTCCCTCTTATTTTTTCGCATAGTTCCGATGTAGGTTAGCTTTTTTTCTTGTAACAGTTTTTTCACCAATGATAAACTGGTAAACCAGTTATCGCCCGTGATATTGCGATTGGTCCCTGCCACTGGATTTACTAATCTGATTACAATGTCTTCGGAGGAATTACTGAGCTTATATGGACCCTCTGGTTGTGTTCCAACGTAGGTTTCCAAGTTGAATGTGTATGATGTCTTTGAATCACACAGCGCAAATGTCTTGATGCCATATTTGGCCGGCTTTGATGGAATGAACTGCTTGAATCCACAGCGTCCTCTAAAAGCTAACAACTGCTCGTCAACAGTGAGGTACTCACTGGCAATAAAATTGTTTTGAAAATTCACCAAGAATGTTTCAAATAGTTCTCGAATGGGCGCCAACTTATCTATTTCCTTTCTTTCATCTCTTGTTCTTATGTCATCAAACCGCAAACACCTTATCAGAAATCTAAATCTCTTTTCACTCATCGCTAGATAGCAAGCTTCCACTCCACTTCCTTTAGAGTTATCCCAAATATTTTTCAGGTTTTTCCGTGAACTTCTGAGGGTTCCAATCAGAATGAGAATTCCAATAAAAGCTGTAATTTCTCTCTCATCAGTTTGCCTGGCATCTCTGAACCGTTGAAACTTACTTTTGACTTTCATGATATATGTTGGTAGAAATAGTTATAATTCTTATCACCGTGTCATTTATAAATAGTTTTAGGCAATCAGTTTCACTCCTGGCATTTCGCGCACTACCTTTTGTTCCGGGCAACAATTTTATTATGTTCTGAGACCGAGTACGCACTTGAGTGTTGGATCTACCCTTCTTCCACTTCGTAACTTTGTCTTTTCTCCAGTAAAATGTATCAGCTTCTCCTTCATCGGTTTCTTCTTCCCAATCAGGCTCATCTTGATCTACCTCCGGTATTTCTTGTTCAGACTCTGTCTCATGATGGTCACTTTCCACACACACATCCTCTTCTTTTTCATCCGAGTCTTCCTCATCGAGTGGGCTTTCCTCCCCACTTGATATTTCGTTGAACCATTGCATCCATACTTCAGGATCCCTGCTTGTCTGTACACACCTTCTTTTCGGGTCGGACATTCTGTTTTTATAGATTTCCCTGTAATTCATTGAATAACTGTATGCATATTTACAATTGAAACAGTAACACTTACCTCAAATCAATGAAAACTAGTAAAATCCAAGGTTTGCCTAGCCGAGAAAATATTACGTGATTAGGCGCGCGGGCTACAATTGTAGACCAGCCGATTTTAGGCGCGAAAAACAACAACGACAATACGCCTCAAGCACGCGCATCATACTGATCAAGTGGAGCAAAACAAATAGAACAGCTACTAGCGGGGGCGCTCGCATCTGCATATTTTCTTTGCGTTTCATCACCATTCGAATATCGGTGGGCTACAATCGTAGCCCGCGCGCCTAACGAAGGGTTAAATAATACTATAATGTTACAGTTTTCTCGTATGAGCTGTTTTGGAATTTTAGAGTATGTTTGGCAGAGATATGCAGCATCGATATCTTTATGACGACACATGGAGTAATACTCTCGAATTTTCTGCTGACCGTCACACGACACGTCGTCAAATATGAATATAGAGCTATTTTTAGCCTTACTTGGACTTATAATTTCCTCGTTATCCTTAAATGGGAAATAGCCAACGCCCTTAGCAGCGGAAATCACTTCTTGAAGCAGTTGATACTTTGGTTGATACAACGATTTTGAATAAACATAAACATTTTTAAACTTAACACCGTTTGGATGGAAAAGCAGCGCCAGCATTACGTTCGTTTTTCCACATCCGCTTGGTCCGCAGATGATAGCGCGAAACGAATTCGGTAACAATTTACCATGTTTACTATGTTGAGTTTTTGCTGTAAAATCCAAGTTATTAATGGGTAATAACTGCTCTTGTTGAACAACCTTCATCGTGTGGCGTTCGAATAAGGAATGTGTAAAAGTATATATGTAGATATTGCTAACGCATCATCAACAGTTCTCATGTTAACGTACAAGGGTGAAGGTGTTGTAAACTCTCTGATAAATAATCTTCCGATAGAACTCCACGTACCTTCGTATCAGTTCCTGGGACGTAAGTGTGCGACAGATTAGGATATTTTTTTTCATTCTCACACATGTATATGTATATTTTCAGCGGGGACTAAATTAAAGAAGAGGTTAGCACGAGGAGATTCTGGAAAGAACCCATTGGATCGTGCTGCAAGAGATCACGATATTGCATACGCCTTATACAAAAATTTGAAAGACAGACACAAAGCTGATTGGATTCTTGAGAACCGAGCCTGGGAACGTGTAAAAGTACCTGACGCTTCACTAGGAGAAAAGACTGCAGCTTGGCTAACAACCACCGCAATGAAAGTTAAGCGAAAATTGGGTATGGGGCAGAAGAAATCATCTTTTCGACGAGGTGTTCTCACGAAAATCAAAAAGTCCTTGAAGAAAAATGCTCCCACCACCACGACATTAAAAAAGTCTGCATTGGTTGCTCTTAAAGCGGCAAGATTAGCGGTGAAGAGTGCAGCTGGAAAACATAAAGTTCGACTACCGAGAATAATTCCGATCGAAGGCAAATCTGGGGGATTCCTACCCTTGATCCCCCTTTTCGCCGGATTAAGTGCCTTGGGGGCGCTCGCAGGGGGAGCTGCAGGTGTGGCCAAAACGGTCGTTGATGCCAAGAATGCACAAAAGAAATTGGAGGAAGACCATCGCCATAACAAAGCTATGGAGTCTTTGGGCAAAGGATTGTATTTGAGAAAAAATGCTGAAGGTGGTTATGGGTTGTACCTCAAAAAAAAAGTAAAAAAAACTAAACATCAAGCTACCCAAGAAAGCGCTTTATGATTATGAAATAAAGCAATATGCGAAGCTCTTGAACATACCTCATTTCCGAGGTGTCTTCATGCATGACACTTTACCACGAGACGGTCCACGTAAAAGAGTATGCGCCGTCGTGAACTTAGATATTTCACAAAACAACGGAACTCATTGGGTAGCTTATAAAAAGATAAACAACAACGTTGAGTATTTCGATTCATTTGGTAACCTGAAGCCTCCACAGGAACTTGTTCGATATCTGAAAAACGCTAAAATTTTCTACAACAACGATCCTTACCAAACTTATAATCAAGTTAATTGCGGACAATTGTGTTTGAAATTTCTATACAATAACAACAACAACAACGATGGATAATAAAACATTATCGGAATTTACATTAGAAGAGTTTGAGAAGAATATTCCGCCGCTGGAATATTTAATAAGCAATGTGAGACCTGCAGAACTGTTGAGTATATGGCACAAACTGCCTGCAGAATACACATCCAATTTTGATCTTCAAATACGACTTCCATGCTATGTTCACTACAACAGACCTGATTGGGCAACACATTGGGATGGACCGGCTACTGCTCAAGCAAATTGTTATTTCTGTAAATTATCCATTCGAAAATAAACAAAAAAAACTTGAATAAATGTTTAGTACACAGCTATATTTTTTCATTCATCATGTCGCAGTTGTTGAGAGTCAATAGCACTACTCATATATTTTCATTTCGCCGACAGGCTGTTATGAAATTACCGACCTAGAAACATTTATACGAACGCAAATGAATCTTGAAAATGAAGTTGCTCCTCCGGATGATTATTTTTCTCTAAAACCTAACAATAATACACTGCAATGTGAAATCTTTAGCAAGTATTATAAAATAGTGTTTACAGAACCGAATAATCTTGGACATCTATCGGGATTCTCGAAAAAAGTTCTTAATCCTGGTCAAAAGCATTCTTCTGATTTACCTGTAAACATAATAAAAGTATCAACCATACACTTTGATGCTAACATTACGTCGGGATCCTTTGACGGAGACACGCCTGCACACACGATCTACGAATTTGCTGTGACAGCCGATCCTGGATACGCTATAGTCGAAACACCTGTAAATTTACTATATCTACCTGTTATACCGAAACAAGAAATAACCAACATCACAGTGTTGGCTTTAGATCAAGACGGTCGTCCTGTAAACTTTCAAGGTGAAACTAGTACTCTTGTGTTAGAGTTGAGAGCGAAGCGCAGATGGGATTAGTGATTATAAGACATAGTGGTGCTTCCAAGGCAACTTCAGTATTACCCCAAGCACCTAAGCGACGACATCTACTACTAACTACATCAAATATCCTGTTTCTCCGCTCACTTGGATATCATGTCAACAACAACAAGAATCATGTACAAAAAGAGAAAAACTGAGGAGGCAGCAGCAGCATCACATACTTCTCCGATGTTTGATCTATATCGATCTCCAGCATTCGATGAATCTATTCGCAAGGCTGAGTATAGATCTTATACGCCGTTCATCAAGTCATTTAATTGTAATGATGTTGTGGAATTTAGCATCAATCAAGTAGATTCGTTCTTTGCAATGAACGCTTCCCTTCTATCTATCAAAGGGAAAGTTGAAATAACTGGAGGAGCAGCAGCAGCAGGAGATGTTTCTTTAGCTCCAAACTTTGGTGCCTTCCTATTTGACTCTTGCACTTACAGTGAATCCGCTAGAGAAGTTGAAACAGTACGTGATACTGGTATTGTAAGTACTGTCCGAGCTTACGTATGTTACAGTGAGGAAGACTCAAATCATATGGCTATAGCTGGATGGAATTATCCTTCAACACCTATAATGGCGTCAACACATAACAAGTCTTTTAGCTTGCTAATGCCGCTTAAACATATTTTCAACATTTTCAATGAGTATCCTATGATTACGTGTGGCAGACAAACTCTCAGATTTGTGAGAGCTAGAAACGATAACGATTGTATCATTATCAAGGAAAAAACTGGAACGACGACAGCGAAAATAACTATTGAAAGCATGGAACTGAAAATCAAACATATTTACCCGAGTGATGATGTGAAAGAACAACTTTTGAAAGCTATTCAAACTGATAAGCCGATACTTATACCATTTAGAAAATGGGATCTGAATGAACTGCCTGCAATTACCGCAGATGCGAGAAGAGAAATATGGTCAGTTAAAACTAGCACCGCAATCGAAACACCACGTTTCATTATAGTATGTTTCCAAACCGGTAAACGTGACGTCGCAACCTCAGACCCGACCCTGTTTGATCACGTGAATGCTGCTAGTATTCGAGTATCTTTGAATGGTGAATACTATCCCACCGAACGTATGCAATTGGACTTTGCAAACAATCACTTTACTGAAGCTCATTTCAACTATAGCGACTTTCAAACCAGCTATACAACTTCTTCTTCTCTGAAAGATGTCTTTTAGATTATACCGCTTTTAAAAATCGCGCTTTGTTTGTTATTGACTGTTCCAAACAAGAGGAAACCATGAAATCATCAACTGTTGATGTTAGATTGGATATCGAAGCCGATGCTGGCTTTCCAACCAACACCAAGGCCTACTGCATCATTATACATGACTGCTTAATCGAGTACTTCCCCCTCACCGAAGTTATTAAAGCCATCTCGTAAGCAACGAAGGACTCTCAGTTCCGCATCAGACATCATGAGGATCGCGTTTGTTGACATTCAAGGCTTTACAGTTGACGGATTATTCGTACCTAAAGAACTATGTATCGAAATTGGTTTCAAGAAAAGTCATTACATCTTTACACCTCCGCAACCTTTTTCTACATTAAATACTAAAGACAAGAAAACTGTCGCTTACTTGGAGAAGAATTTCCATGGGCTTAAATATTCTTCCGGCGACGTTAAATATTCCAAGTTAAATGAAATAATTAAAAATAAGGTGATATATGCGGCTGACTATGTCTACGTTCGTGGAGAATAGAAAGCAAACTTTTTACTCAAGAAATGTCACATTTTTGGTGTTTTTCCCATCATTATTGATGTTTGCAAGTATGATGGTACACCGTGTGCTACTGGAAACTTTGTTGCTGATTCCAATCCATGTCACACCAACGGACAATTTTCCTGTACCCAGAGAAATGTTGAACGTCTACGCCACTGGTTTTCAAATATCATATTACCTATGTAGTTTTTTTCTATTTTCAATAAAATATTAAACGTATTATTGTAGT